ATTCTGTAAAAAGAAACTATTGGAACACACACTTCCCATGACCCACACACTCCTCCTGTCTTAAGGTTCGGTTCTACCGGGCTGAATTAAGTGCAAATAGGCTACAAATTGTTTAAGAATTCAGAACGCCGAGCAGCCAGGACCAGCGACCGAACCGAGCCTCTTCCATCCGCACCTCGGGCACGGGGAGAGCCCGCCCGGGTTCGCCGTGAGCTCCTCCCAAACCTGCGGGGGTGAAAGGGGGAGCCCAGCCTCGGGCAGAGCTCACGGTGCCCACCGGGGGCTGCGGAGCCCCGGCCCCGGGCAGAGCTCCCGGTGCCCACCGGGGCTGCGGAGCCGCCGCCCCGCACCGGACCCGCTCCGCCCCGCGGATTATCCCGAACATCTTTAAGGTTTTTTAAAGCCCGGGGGGGACTCGTTGCTGCTCCTCAGCCACGGAAACCGGAGAAGCGGCTGCGGGGAATAAACTCCTGGGTGTTCCTAAGGAGAAAACAACCCAGCGCGGTCCCGGTCGCTCCGCCGGTTTAAGAGACCACAGGGCACGGGGCGCATCCTCCGCTCGATCTCCGGGACTGCCCGACGGCTGCGCCGAGCCCAGCCCGGCCCGGCCATGCCCGGATAACCCCAGGGCGCCTCCGCTCCCCCGGCCCCGCCCGCCGCGGACGTGCCCCGCCGCAGGCGCCCGCGCCGCCGCTCCTCCCCCCCCACCCGCCGCTCCCGGAGCCGGCCCGGAGCCCACCCGCGGGGCCGGGATTCTGCCCAAGCCCCTCGGAGCCCCCGCGGAACGCCCCTCGGTCCAACCCCCCCCGCCAACCCCCCGCCACCCCGGTCCGCCTGAATGGACCCCCCCCAGCCCGGAGCCAGCCCGGCTCGCCCCGGTCCGGTCCGTACTTGTCCCCGCGGCGCCGGCGGCCATCGAGCACAAGACGAGCAGCGCCAGGACCGCGCGCGTTCCCGCCGCGCCCGCCGCCATCTCCGCACGCGCCCCCGCCGCGCCGCGCGCGCGCTATAACCGCGACCGGGGGCACCGGGGGGAGGCGGGGCCACACGGAGCACCGCCCCCTCGCCCCCCGCCGCTCAGCCAATCGCACAGCGCTGCGCCGCGCAGACCCCGCCCATTCGGCGCGGCGCGGCCAATCAGAGATGAGATCGCGCCGAGCGCCTTCTCCTCTCTCCTGGCCCCGAGGGCAGAGCCGGTTCGGGCCGGTCCCGCCCGGCCGCGCCCACTTACCGGGACAGCCAATGGGAACGCGCCTTGTGGGCGGGGCTGAGGGTCCCGGGGGTGCCCCCGGTGCGGCCGCTGCCCGGGGCGGGTCCGGGAGCGCGGAGGGACGGGGGGGAGGCGAGCAGGCCCGCACGTGTCCGTGCCTGCCGAGCCGGGGCACGCACGCACCGGGGGCAGCACCGGGACGCGCACGCCCGCCAGGCCACGCGGCTCCGCGTGGGCAGAGTCACGGGGGAGCCAGCGGGGGCTCGGGCAGGCGGGTCCCCGCTGTGAAAAATGCGTATTTTATGATTGGCTTTTGGCAAATGTTAAAATGAATATTATATGTGTTGTGTTAGAAAGTGATGCTGTATTAATTGTCTTAAGTAGCGTGGTAAATATAGTTTTGGGTTATAAAAAATGTTGAAATAGAAACGATGCTATGTAAGATACTTTTCTTTAAAGAAGGGACTCGCAGCGAGATAGCAGCCACAGGACACCTGAATCTTTCAGACAAAGAGAATCTATTGCTCCATTATCAGAAGAAACGAACTTCTTCCCATCTCGAAGGCGCTGTTAGGATTCAGAGGAAGATGTTGATGATGACCATAGAGAATCCTGTATTTGAATGGAATTTATGCATCATGCATAAATATGCAACAGACTGTTGCTTTTAAGAGTTAATTTTTTGCTAACTGTGTCCTTTTTCAGCCTTGTGCTGCCCACAAAAAGGTACCCGGACGTCCGTAACTCTTTGTTTCTATTGTCTCATATAGTCCTAATGCAAATTATCCAAATTATTATTACTCTAATTCTATTACTATTTTAATAACCATTTTATTACTATTTCAATTTTAAAACCAAGTGACTGGGCGTTTCTCGCACCGGGCAGGTCCCGGAGGTTGCCGGGGGCGCACGGGGTGAGGCGGACAGCGGCATGCGTGGGAAGGGAACCGGGCAGCGCTTCCTCAGCGCGGGGAGTCCGGCCCGGACAACGGGACAGTGGCTCCTGCGGGGACACCGCGGCCAGGACAGAGCAGCTCGACCTGGCCCTGTCCCACAGCCCCGTCCGGACCCCCAGAGGTCCTCAGAATTATTTGTCCTGCGGCTGCTATCTCGCTGCGAGTCCTTTCTTTAAAAAAAAAAAAAGTATCTTACATAGCATCGTTTCTATTTTAACATTTTTTTATAACCCAAAACTATATTTACCACGCTACTTAAGAGAATTAATACAGCATTACTTTCTAACACAACACATATAGTGTGAAAAACGCCAATCACTTGTTTTTAAAATTTTTAAAGTTTAATAGTAATAAAATGGTTATAAAAATAGTAATAGAATTAGAGTAATAATAATTTGGACAATTTGCATTAGGACTGTATGAGATAACAAATAGAGTTATGGACAGTCAAGGTAACTTTTCCTGGGCAGCATGAGCCCAAAAAAGGACCCACATTAACAGAGGATTAACCCTTAAAAACAATAACCTGTTGCATATTCATACACCTCATACATGATGCATAAATTCCATTCAAACACAGGATTCTGTCTGGGCAGTGTCAACTTCTTCCTCTGAATCCTAACAGCGCCTTCGAGGTGGGAAGAAGTTCGTTTCTTCTGATAATGGAGCAATAAATTCTCTTTCTCTGAAAGATTCAGGTGTCCTGTGGCTGCTATCTCAGCGTGAGTCCTTTCTTTAAAAGAAAGTATCTTACATAGCATAGTTTCTATTTTAACATTTTTTTATAACCCAAAACTATATTTACCACGCTACTTAAGAGAATTAATACACCACAACTTTGTAACACAACACATATAATATTCATTTTAATATGTGCGAAAAGCCAATCATAAAATACGCATTTTTCACAGTTTTTAAGCCGTTGCAGAGCACTGGGATAAATCAGGCTTCTCCGAGGGGCTGGGCAGGCAAAAACCAACAGGGCAGCTGGGCAAAGAGGCCTCTGCAGGACAGCAGATTTGTCTCCAACTCTTCTCCATCCCCTGAGTGAACTCTTGTCTGAGTCAGCCGCGGGGTTCTGGGCAGGGGGGCAGGAAAAGCCAAAACAATGGGGCCATAGGCGCCAGTGCCCACCAGGGGATCCACGGGGATCTGCCAGCTCCTTCCTCCCAGAGCATTTCTTCCCCATGTCCCACCCGCCCTCATCCACTGGCCGGGCTCCCCCTGCACTGGGGGGATTTGCAGAAATTCGGGGGGTATGGAGCTCATGGCATCCATGATCTGGGTAACCCCCAGCATCCAGCATCGGGGAGGGAACTGGCCACAAAGAGCCAGCAAAGGGCACGGCCATGCAGATCTGGGGTGCACAGAGCAGCCCCCCAGGAAAGGAAGGAGAGGCTGGCTATGAACAAGCACCCAGGGCTGCTGCTGCTCCGTGCTGGGTGACCTTGGAAGCCGTTTGCCAGGCCTGAATAAAGCGACAATAATCCTATTCACCTTTTAGCCTCATTTCCTAAGGCAATAAAGCACATGCCCTCGCCGCGTGCAGGCGCAGGTGTCACTCAAGCCCTGATCCCATTTGCACGACTCCAGCCGAGGGAAGTTCTGCTCATTACCCCTCTGATGAGCTTTGTGCAGCAGGGGCAGGAGCTCCAGGCAGGCTCTTTGCCAGGGCCTGGCCCTGCCCTGGCTCCAAGGCTGCTCGCCCCAGCGCTGGGCTGGGAGCTCAGCACAGTTTGGGGAGCTCCCCGCAGCCTCCTGAGCTCACATGTCCCAGCCAGTTCCAGTCTGTGGGTTCAGGGCACACCCAAATGGGATCAGAGCAGCCCTGGGCAGCCGTGGGGCGCCCTCAGCTATCCCTGAGCACAGCCAGGCACTGCCCAGGCAGGTCTGCTGCCTCAGAGGAGGCAGAAGGCAAACACCTTCTGCAGGGTTTGGCCCAGGCAGAGACTGAGTGCTGGCCAAAACTCCAGGGCAGAGGCACTGAATGTTGCCCAGGAAGGGCAGAGATGCTCTCCAGACCAGAGGTAACCCTGCCCACTCTGCAAGGTGGAAAGAGGGTTGCTGTGAGACCCACAGCTGCCCCAGGAGAGCAGCCAGCCCATCCACCCACTGCTCCATGCCAGTCCCTGTCTGATACAAATCCCTTGTAGCCTGGGCAGAACCTCACTCGTGCATCACAATCTTTCCCTGGAAGAACTTTATTAAATAGTGTCCAAAAAAAAAAAACAAACCAGAAGCAGAAATACTCAGCATGACCCCATCCCTCTCAGCAAGTTAAATACCACAAACAGATCATCCCCACATGGTCAGTGCTGGTGGCTTCTGGGCAAGTCCTCCCTGGTGCCCCTCTCCTTGTGAACACAGCTCCAGCATCATGGGCAGGGAAGGCAAAAGGGTCCTGTGGGACAGCCCAGCTGGCTGCAGGGTGAACCTAAAAGGTTTTGAAAGCCAAGACAGCACTCACATGTTGTTGTTCCCCCACCAAAGCAACCACTCACCACCCCCACAAGTGCCCCAAACTGCTCCTACCCCATGGGGCTGAAGAGAAGCTGAACAGACCCAAAGGAGGGGCAGCCAACACAGGGCCTGGTTGTCACTCCTCAGCCAGGCAGAGCCACCAGCACCTCAATTTCTGTGGGTTTGTGAACACCCCAACACAGCTTCCCCCTCTCCACCAGCCCTCTGGAAGTTTATAAACAGGGGGTTTATCTTTTCCTACAAAGACAGCGATGGGATTTCCTTTGCAACAGCAGAACAGTCTCCCTGCGAGGTAGAGAGTTAATTTCAGGGCTGACAGATCCTAAATTCAAACCAGTTTGTTCTAGTTGAGGTAAAATTCAGTAGTTTATAGTAAGTTTTGCAATGCCAGAGGCCCATCAAGATTCCTCATTGCCGGAGTCATCCTCATCACCGTAACAGCTGTCTGCTTCCTCCTCCATCTCATCATCCTCATAATAGTCATCATAAAAGAGGTCTGAGCCCTCATCTGGGGCTGGAGTCTTGGTCTTCACACAGTACTCAGCCAGCGTGGTGGGGACCTTCACTCCATCCCGCTCAGCGTCCACCTTGGTGCCCAGCACCTGCTTCCTGCAGGGTGAGAAATGGGAGGTGAGAACAGAGCTCTGCACCACAGCCCTGCAGAGTCCCACAGGATCCCAGTGTTGGGGAAGATGAAACAGGAAAGCCTTATAAATATGATTGCCTGGCAAAAGATTTTGAGAGTATAGAAACTATAAGCGAGATTGAAATGAAATCAAGCTTTGAGATCCCTCAGTTACTGAACAACTGGAAAACAATGGTGTGGCTGGCTGAAGGTGATCCCCTTTTGATGAAACAACACCCTCTGCTTGCAGACAGGCCCAAGGGTCAGAGCAGACCCTGCCAGCTTGGCAGAAGGGGCCCAAAGAGGAGTTTTTAGGGTTTAAAATGTAACACAGTATGGTAATGTAATGATTTTTATAGGCTGTATGGAAATGCTATTAGAATTTGTATCTTGTACTAGATTGGTTAGTGAGAATCAGAATATTCAACACAGAAGAAGATTTATTGTATTATAATGGAAACCTCACTCTCTTACCCCTTTTACTCTCTTACCCTTTTTACTCCTCTTACCCCTTTTACTCTCTTATGCTTTTACTCTCTTACCCTTTTACTCTCTCACCCTCTCATCCTCTCTGCCCCTCTCTTCTCTCAGTCCTGCTCCAGCTGTGCCTGGCAGCTCCCAGCAGGGCCCTGCACCCAGGCCCTTTGCAATGAACCCCAAGTTCCTGACCTGGCTGCAGAGATCTCTCGTGTCTGTCCATCCTGACCATCCTACCCCCCGACACTGCCCCATCCCAGCACAGCCAGGGCTGCCAGGCCAGGCTCAGCACACACCTGATGATGTCTGTGTACTCCCGGTCCTTCCCTTTGCTCTCCTTCCACTTGCGGTACATCACCGAGGCGTCCACGTTGGCTGGGGAAAACGTGTTGGGCTCATTCAGCAGCGAGATCACACTCAGCAGAATGGTTCTGGTGTGGATAAACACGAGCAGGTCAGAGCTGAGGTGGCTCAGCAGCACCCCAACAGTGCCAGCAGCCCAAAACCTTGTGCTGTCCCCAGCAAGAGAGGTCCCAGCAAAGGGGAGCAGGACGGGCAGGGGACAGCAGCACATGGGCTCTTGGGCTTATACACTGTTGGAACTCAGTGCATCCCTCTGGGTGTCCAGAGTTGCCAAGAACGCTGACAGGGGGCTCAGAGACTCTAGCATGCAGCCCAGAGCACCTGGGGATTTGATTTTGACCCCTGGAGCAAGTTGTCAACTTTGTATGAGGACATGAAAGTCACACAGATTTGGATAGTGTAATAACAAAATAATCACAGGGTGAAAATGTCGATTTTAGGATTTTTGGTATGGGGGTTGTGGGGACAAGATGGAGGAATCTTGGCATGTCCAGCCTTTCTTCTTGTTCTCCATTTTCTGCAGTGATGTTGGCACTTTGGGATGGGTTTAGAGTAGAGGTGCACTGTCTAACATAGGTGATAGGTATTGGGAATTAAGTGTAAATATGTTATATGTAGTTTGTGGTATAAAAAGACAACACCCCCTCAGGGGCGGTCAGAGTGCCTGTGGCTGCCCTGCTGAGCAGACCTCAGCTGGGCAGAAAGAAAATTTTATAGATAAGAATTAATAAACAACCTCAAGACCGAAAAGTGAAGAGTCCAGACTCGTTCTTCAGCTGCACGGGCCAAAGCAGAGACCTCCTGCACATCTCAGGGCAGCAATTATCAAACAGCAACCCGAGAATACACAAGCTCTGGCTGTTCTTCAGCCAATCCAACAGCCTGAGAGCCTTCACCAGCCCCCTGGCACCTCCTGTCCCCAGCCTCCCACGCTGCCGTCCCCCCAGCCCTCACCGCACGTTCTGGGTGGGGTTCCAGCGCTCCGAGGGCAGCTCCCCACTCTGAGGGTCATCCACGGGCGGGTGCAGGATGGAGATGCAGACATCACCTGTCTGAAAGCACAAGAGAAACAGGATCCTCAGGAGCTGCTGCCCCAGGATCTCCTCACTCGCTCTTCCCTTTGGCTGGAGCCAGGTGAGGCAATGTCACAAACACGTTTTATGAAAAATCCTTTCCTTAGGATTTTTTCTCCTGAGAAGCTGAGAGGCCTCAGGAACAAAATGTAAACAATAATTATCTGCTGCTGTGGAATGCAACAGTTGCATCTTTGATTGGTCTCATGCAGTTGTTTCTAATTAATGGCCAATCACAGTCCAGCTGTCCAGACTGTCTCGTTCAGTCACAAGCATTTGTGATGATTCTTTTTCTATTCTTAGCCAGCCTTCTGATGAAATCCTTTCTTCTATTCTTTTAGTATAGTTTTAATATAATAAATATAATAAAATAATAAATCCAACCTTCTGAAACATGGAGTCAACATTCTCATCTCTTCCCTCATCCTAAGACCCCTGTGAACATGGTCACAGGTGACCCCAGCTGTCCCTTCAGTCCCATAGAGGGACACAGAAATGGACAGGCACCCCATGACTGCCAGCTCTGTACAGGTCAGGCTGCCCAATGCCCAGCAGGCTGTGCCCCTGGCGTGGGCCCCAGGGCCAGGCACATTGCTCACCCTTGCAGCCACTCTTGGCATAGGCACAATGTCCCCAAGCGTGGGAGCCATCAGGCCTGCAAAGCCTGGCTGACCTGGAAGCTGCTCTGGGACAGCAAAGGGCTGTCGTGAGCTCATTAGTGATGTTCCCTGTGCCAGGCACTGAGTGTCCAGTGCCAAAGGCTGCCATTTGCATCCAGTGCCATCACAACAGAGGCACACGTGTCCACTGACTGTCCCAGAGCCCCCTTGCTGTCCCAGGGGACCTACCTCGTAGATATTGGGGTGCCACATTTTGGTTAGGAACCTGAAGGCAGGAGGAGAGTAGGGGTAGTCGATGGGAAAGCGGAGACGAGCCTGCGAGGGAGCAATAAGGAGATGTGAACACCAGCTTGTGAGAAGGAAGGGATGGAAATCACAGAGCCTCTGACAGCTCTGGGGAAAAGGAACCTCTGCCAAGGCCAGCTGGGCACCTGCTGGGACAGAGCCTCTGCACGAGGCAGCTTTGTGGGCAGAACACAGGGACATGGGGGAGCCTCTCACCACACAGAGTGGGGTGAGCAAAGGGGCTGTGAGCAGCAGCAGCTCCTTGCCCCCCATCCTGCCCACACCCCCTGTCCAGCAGGGCCCTCTGCTGCTAACCCAGTGCTCTCCAATGCAGAGGAACCAGGGGGAGCTCGTGGTGCTGAGAACCCGGCACAAACCCCACGGCAGCACACAGAGCCAGGCAGAGAGTCTGGGTCACCCCCAGACCATGGCTGTGCCACAGAGGAAAGGCTGTTTACTCTCCAGAGTTCACAGGAAGGAAGCATCAGGTGTTTGGTGCTCTGATGAACGCACCAAATCTAAAAATAGCCTGTCACTGCTGAGAAGAGACCCAGTCCAAACTGGCCGCAACGCGCAGCTTGGGGGCTAAAAATAAAATCACATGAAGCTCAGGCTGCAGCCCAGGGCTCCAGCAGGGACACTCAGCCACCACCAGCTCCTCCCACAGCTGCCAAACCCACAGGGCTGAGATTGGGCAAAGAGGGGCTCCCTGTCCATCTCTGAGTGAAGCCTGAGGGGGCACAGGGACCTACAGCAACATCCCACAGTGCTCAGAGCTGCTGCCCCAACCCACCAGCACCAGGAATGCAAAAAGATGGGGGCAGCCTCTCCCTGTGTGGCTGCACAAATTCCCAGTGACTGATTCAGCTTTCAGCTGTTTCCAGGCCCTGGGAGCAAACTTCCAGATCAAGACGCAACACAACAACTCCCTGAACGTTTTTTGCTCCCTCAGTTCATGTAAAAGAAAATCCAGACACTGGATTGGGGGGTGGGAAAAGGGAGAAGTGCAGTGGGGGCCGTGCAGTGTGTGTGGAGTGCAGGGCAGTGACACTCAGCCCCGTGCTGGGCTCTGGCCAAACAGCTGAACATGGCAGAATAATCCCCTTTGTTGTGTCAGAGGGGATCAGAACAAAACCAGCCGAGGCAAAGCGATGCCAAAGAGGGCTTGGACAGCAACAACCCCAACCTGTGTGTGTACAAACAGGCTGGGCAATACTCTGCCCCTCTGCTCTCCTCTTATGCACAGTCTCACCAGCACCCTCAGCGCTGAGTTTGGAAGCTCTCAAGCACACAACAGGAGAATGAGTGGCTGAAAGGGTGAGAGTTCAGAGGGTTTCATGCCAAAATGCTGTGGGGAAAAAATCCCTTCACTTCAGTGAAGAGATGAAACCTGGCTCAGAAGCGTCAGCTTTGCCAGCCCAGGAAAACAAACACGGCTAACCCTGGGTGACTCACCCTGTGCATCCCCACCCTGACAGCAACAGGATGAAAACACAAGAGCTCCGTGGAGGAGGGAGGATGAGAAAGAGGAAGAAAACAGCTACGCCAGGTTGCACAATACCTGGGAAGAGCGCACACACATCCTGCCGAGGGGGGACTGCGCAGTCAGGCCAATAAACACCTTTTTCCACCCCAAACCAAGCCACGACACTCACTCCCTAACCCAGCTCCCTGCTCCCACCCTGGGCTGTCTCTGGCTGCACTCGGGGGACTTTTATCTCTTCCCTGGTCTGGTGGCAATGCCTCTGATCCCCTCCAGCAGAGGGAACCTCGGCGACCTGGAGCCCACTGTCCATCCTCAGACCAGGGAGGGCATGGGGGTGGTTGAAGCTCCCCATAAGGGGACCCTCGGTAGAAGGTACCATCTCCCTGCCAGGACCACCCCCAAGCCCCAGGGACCCCCAGGTGCCCAGTGAAAATCCCAACTCTCCCTCAACTCACCCCTAAGCCTGGGAGCAGCTCTGTCACGAACCCCACACCCACCTGGGACACCCACAGCCCCCTCACAGGGTCTCAACCCTTCCCAAAACTGAGAAACTCCTTCCCAAACACGCAGCACATCCCCGACACCGCCTGCTCTGCCTTCCCCGCCGCTCACCTTGAAGTATCCGCCCTCGTAGTGTGTGTCCGGGGGTCCGAAGATGGCCACGTCCCAGGTGTACAGGTCCCCTTCGTCCACGAGCCCGACCCGGAACCCCTCCACGGGCTCCTCCTGCAGCCCCTTGAGCTCCAGCAGCAGCGCCTTCTGCGAGCTGGGCACGGCGGGCCGCGCCATGCCGGCGTACCGGGGCTCTCGGGGGGCGTTCGGCGGCACCGGGGCCACGCGGGGCACGGCGGGGGCTGGAGTCCCGGTAGGGGCGCGGCCACCGAGGGAAACGCCCCTACGGGTGCTGCTGACCAATCAGAGCGCGGGGTGGGGCAGGTGGTGGGCGGGGCAGCCCCGCCGATGCCCACGGTGCCGCTCCCGGTGGCACCGAGCGAGCCCAGCGATGGGCACGGCGGCGCTCCCGGTGGCACCGAACGAACCCAGCGATGGGCATGGCGGCTCCCCCGGTGGCACCGGGCCCACCGAGCGAACCCAGCGATGGGCAGGGCGGCTGCCCCGGTGGCACCGGGCCCACCGAGCGAACCCAGCGATGGACACGGCGGCTCCCCCGGTGGCACCGGGCCCACCGAGTGAACCCAGCGATGGGCAGGGCGGCTGCCCCGGTGGCGCTCCCGGTGGCACCGAGCGAACCCAGCGATGGGCAGGGCGGCTTCCCCAGTGGTACCGGCCCACGGAGCGAACCCAGCGATGGGCGGGCGCCCCGGGGCTCCCCAGCACACAGAACCCCGGGCAGCCTGAGGGTGTCACAGCTGTACGACGATTCACAGCAGCAGAATCTGCTCAGCTGAACCAAGGACGCCTCTGGCATCCCCGGCTCGCAGCTCGCTTTGTGTCACATCCCGTCAGCTGTGCCTGCGTCAGGAGCCGCCACCCGCAGCCTCACCCAGACCAGCCCCGCGTGCTGCCTGCAGGGAGCAGAGCATCCGCCCCAACACAATTTCTAAACTGAAACGGCCACAGAACTGGACCACTGTAGCCACACTGGTCCAAGTGGCAGGTATTGGTGGTCACTGTGAAAGCTTACATAGCTCACACTCTGTCACATTTGAGGGACCTGAAGGTCATGTTGCCACCACAAAACCATTCGTAGTAGGAGCTGATATAGCTCTTTGGGGAAGAGACAGTCTCTCCCAATGGGGTCTGAGAATAGAAACCGATTTTTAACAAAGGCTATTGATGGACATAAACTCACATGGACATCCATTACACCCTTCTGGGTCAGCCAATGGCCCTTACCAGAAGAGAAACTTGCTGTATTAGAGCAGTTGGTACAGGAACAGTTAAATAAAGGTCACCAAACTCCAACTACCAGTCCCTGGAACACTCCAGTTTTCGTAATTAAAAAGTCAAACATCCCAAGCCCACAGGGATCCTCCCACTGGCTCTGCCACAGTCCTGCACCTGCTGCCGACACTAACCCCAGGGTTCTGGGTACTTCTGCTGCTCATTCTGGCACTTGGTGCTGCCAGGAGGTAAGAAAGTGGCCACTAAAAAATAATAAAAAAGCTTTAATGTCTTACAGCAAACCAGGAATTGAACAGTATAAATAATGATCAGACAAGTTTAAATAAATAACCCCTGGCCTGACACGCAGCTGGCCCTGGGGGAAGGGGATGTGTCTCATCCAGAGCCTGCACTGCACATCCCAAACCACCTCAGCCCTCCCCAGCTGCCCCTGTGCAGCCACAGCCCAGCCCCACACTTTGTTCCTTCTGGGTCACTTCACTGCCCAAAGCAGCTCCACGTGTCACAGCCTCCATGCGAGTCCTGGATAATCCCTGAGAGGGATCTCCCAACACAGCTGGGACATGGAGCTGCTGGGCACCATCAGAGCAGGGCAGGGAGTGTAGAAACTGGGAATCTCTTGCTGGGCACAGCAGAGCTCTCCAGCCAGCTCCCCGTGCTCACCGTCCAGCTCGGAGAGGAGCTGCAGCCAGCGCTGCTCCCACCCGGCATCACTCCACAGGCTTCACCTTGGCTATGAACAGCGCCGTGGCTTTCCTCAGGAACTCCTCCCTGCTCATGGAGGAGCCCAGCTTCCTCTCCTGCAGCGCCTGGTCCATGGCCAGTGCCAGCCTGTCGGGGCCCAGCCTGGAGCCCGCCTCCAGGTAGCGGCCGGGCCGCGGGCCGTGCCCGGTTCCCAGCGCGTCCTCCAGCGCCCGCAGCACCGCCTGGCACAGCCGGCTGTCCGCCGAGTCCCCGGCGCCCAGCACGGCGAACAGCGCGTCGGCTTTGGCCGCGAACTCCAGCAGCACGCAGCAGGTGAGGACGCCGTAGCGGAACACGTCGAACGGGACGGCCTCGTGGTCGCGGCAGCGGACGCGGCGCAGCAGCTCGGCCGCCGCCTCGGCCGGGGCCGCCCCGCGCTGGCAGATGCGCCTCAGCAGCTCGCTGTAGAGCCGCCCGTCCACACCCGCCGCCCGCCGCCGCCCGCCGCAGCCCAGCACCTCGTAGGCCGCGCCGGCGTTGCTGTCGAAGGCCGTCCTGTCGCGACAGGGCACACACACACAGAGAGGCGGCCTCGCCCCCCGTCCCCGCCGCCCCCCGCCGCCGCCGCTCGCCGCACCTGTGCGAGTGATGAGCCAGGCACACGTACCACAGCGCCCGGGCCAGGCGCTGCGGCGGCCCCGGGGGTTCCGCCGCCGCCTCCGCCAGCACCAGCCGCTCGAAGTACTCGGCCAGGAAGGACACGGGCTCGGCGGGCCGCGCCTCCAGCACCTTGAGCAGCGCCTCCCGCACCATGGCCGTGACGCCGGCTCGCATCAGGAACTCCGCCGCGCTGCCCTCCGCCGGCCCGCCGCCCCCCGCCGCTGCCCGCCCCGGTTCCGGCAGCCCGCTGCCCCCCGCCGGTACCGGGGCGGCGGCCGCTCGCCGCTTCTCGTACGCTGCCATCATGGACCGCACTTCCGCCCGGGCCGGAAGTTTTGGTGCCGCCATCTTGCACGCTGGCAGCCAATCGGTGGGCAGGAAGGCGGTGAGAGAACGCCGCCATTGGGCGAGGCCACGGACGCCATCTTGAGTGTGGGCAAAGGAGCTGCGCTTTCAACGCGGCTGGCGCCACGGCCGCCACGTTTGCTGCGGGCAGACCGCCCGCGCCCCGGGGCCGTGACGGCCGCGGGACTGAGCGCAAAGAACACTTTGCTGAGGGCTCGAACGGAAAACAGCTCTTTATTGGAGCACCGGTCCCACCCGCGCGCCGAGCCCACGCTCCCCCAGGACCTTCTGTTGTGACAGACAAGCGGCCTTCGTGCTCCCGCCCGTCCGGTGGTACCGGAAGCTCCACGCACCGGACCCAGCACGGTGACCGGTGCCAGCCCGCTGGGGTCCAATCCTGTGTCGCCCGTGTTTATTGTCCTTCTAGGCTTTGCCTCCCGCGGCAGCTGTTCCCCTCCTGCTCCTTCTTGATGTCCAGGGGCCAGCGACAGCCGGGGGACAGCAGGGACACCCCGGAGGGCCGGGGCCGCCACCCGGCTGCTCCCAGTCCCGGGACAGCGGCTACCGAGATCTGAACCTCTTCCACAGGCGTCGAGACACGGCAGCGGTCGCGATGAGCCCCAAGAGCGATCCCGCTGTGCCCATAGCGATGGCAGGGCTGGAGCTGAAGGAATCTGTGAACACACGGAGGTGTTATTGCAGGGAAATGCTGAGGGGGTGAGCGAATCACAGAAAAATTCACAGAAAAATCCACAGTATCAGTGGTTTGGAAGAGACCTTCAAAATCATCAAGTCCAACCCATGCCTGAACACCTCAACTAAACCATGGCACTCCAAGCCCCAAAACAAAGTGCAGCACACGCTATGGGGGTTTCTGGTAACTGCTAATTCCTTGAGGTCCAGGGGTCTGCAGATCAGCAGCACTCACCATCCACCACCAGCACCTCCAGGCTGGCCACCTGGGCGCGGTGGCCGAGCAGGACACACTGGTAGTGGCCCTGGTGCCAGGGCTCGGCGCTGTCCAGCCGCAGGGCGGAGCTGCTGCCCGCAGACTCCTCCCGGTACTGCCCGAGGGCTGCGGGGGTCCGGAGCCAGCCCACCGTGGCGTTCCCGGGGCACCGAGCGTGGCACTCGATGCGCAGAGCCCTGCCCCGCGTCCCGGTGGGAGGCAGCGACCATATCTGCAGGCTGCAGGTGGGCACTGTCCCCAGAGGTGGCCCTGTCGCCGCCGGGAGGGTGCTGGTGGCCACATCTGCCGTGTGGGTGGTTGCCGTGGGGTCCTGGGGCGCAGAGGGCTCCGTGGAAGGGGGACTGGTGACAGCATCCAGATGCAGAGTGGTGCCAGCGCTGGGGTCCTGTGCTGTCGTGGGGTCACCTGGAGGGACACCTGGCCCTGGAGGGAGTGATGTGGTGGCCACGGTGGCTGTGCTGGAGCTCCCCGTGGAGGTGGCCATGGTTGGTGTCATCACAGCTGCAAACACAGCAGCCTTGGTCACAGGGGACCTCGCTGCAGCCCCAAGCTCTTCCAAGCCCAGAGCAAAGGGACAGTGCCAGGAGGGACAGGGATGGGAGATTGAGGAGTGGTGCAGCAGTGGGGGCTGCTGCTGCTTGGCAGAGCTGTTTTGAGGAGCACAGGGCACTGGGGATGGCTCCAGGGGATGGGGGACATGCAGGTTGGAGTCCCCAGCCCCTCCTGGCACTCACCCTCAGCACTTGCCACCAGAGATGCCACCCTGCTGAAGGTCTCCTGCCCAACGTGCAGCGTCACCTCGCACCTGAACTCCACCCCTTCTGCCACCTCTGTCCCCTTCACCGACAGGCTGGAAACGATGTTACACAGCTCCTCCTCATCAGCATCCTTGCAGTCAAGCCCTGTAAGGTTCTCCACCACCTGCTGCCCCCGGTACCAGGTGAGGGCCAGCCCATCGAGGGGATACAGGCGCGTGGCCGAGCAGGTCAGGTTGGCAGGGTGCCCTGGGCGCAGGGTGTGGGGAGCTGCCTCCAGCCTCAGCGTGTCTGGGAGGGCTGGAAAGGAGTCAGAGCAGGGTCAGGGGTGATTTTTGGCAGCACAGAGAGTTCAGGAGGAAAAGGGGCTGCCCTGGGGATGCAGGGTGGTGCTGGGAGGAGGCAGTGAGGGATGGGCTGGGGAGTTGTGATGGCATTCACAGGGGTCTTAGGATGAGGCAAGAGATGAGGATGTGACTCCATGTTTCAGAAGGCTTGATTTATTATTTTATGATATATATTACATTAAAACTATACTAAAAGAATAGAAGAAAGGATTTCATCAGAAGGCTGGCTAAGAATAGAATAGCAAAGAATGATAACAAAGGTTTGTGGCTCGGGCTCTCTGTCCGAGCCAGCTGGGCTGTGATTGGCCATTAATTACAAACATCCAACATGGGCCAATCACAGATCCACCTGTTGCATTCCACAGCAGCAGATAACCATTGTTTACATGTTGTTCCTGAGGCCTCTCAGCTTCTCAGGAAGAAAAATCTTCAAGATTTTCCATAAAAGATGTTTGCGACAGGGAGTGCTTACCATAAACCTTCAGTCTGACACTTTCCTGGTAGTGCTGCCCGTGGCATTTGCCCTCGCAGATCTTCAAGCCCTCCGTGGCCACCGTGGCGTGCCTGATGTGCAGGATGCTGTGGGTGGAGAAGGACGAGATGGTCCCCAGGGCTGTGTCCAACCCCCTCCACTCCACCGTGCTCCCTGCGCAGGCCAAGGAGCAGTTCAGCTCTGTCGAGCCCCCGAAGGGCACCACGGGCTCCCGCGGTGTCACCACCAGCCGCTGAGCGGGGCCACCTGGGCAGGAGGAAAGTGCGGGCTCAGGGGAGGGGACAGTCACCAGCGCCGGGACAGCAGCGATTTGGGGACGGGGTGGCTGTCACGGCTCGGGGACAGGCAGCTCCTGGGGCCGTAGGGTGAAGCGAGGAGAGCGGCTCGGGGGTTTAGGGTGGCTCTTGGCCCCGTGGCACTCACCGCTGCAGCCCCACAGCGAGCCGAGGAGGAGAAGGACAGGAGCCGGCTCCATCACGCACAGGGCAGCAGCAGCGCTGGTTTTCCCTTCTTTAATTCCTTCCCTCTTTCCAGGGAGCGGGGGCTGCTGGCCGGGGCTGTCTCCTTCTGCCCGCCGGCTCCAACCTCAGCCCTTCTTAAGCCCTGTAGGAACCGCCCCCATGAGCACGGGCCCCAGGAGCTCCACAACTTCCCGCCCTAGGGGTATTTCCAGAGGGAGGCTTCTGATTTTCTTCCAAGTTCGGCTCTCGCACAACACCCAGCCGAGGGTCAAGCTGGCAGCCCCCCCAACCCCAGGAAAGTCCCTGTCCTGAAGGGACTGCAGGGTCCCCATCACCCCAGCAGGTGACTCACTCACACCCTGGCTCAGATCCAGCTGTATCCCTGTTTTTTTTTTTTGCAGGGATCACTCCCCCAGAGGCCCTGGCAAACCAGCCTTTCCATGACCCCAAGAGCTGCTGGGAGGCTGTGGAAAGGTCCCTGCTCCAAAAGCAGAGCCAGGACCTGTGATCAGCCCTGTTGGGGAGCTGATTATCCATGTTTATTCCTCAAACAGGGCATTTTCAGGGACGGAATCAGGTGTTCCTGGGAGGCTTGGTCTTGTACAGATGGACAAAGTGTCACCACAGAGAAGGTGTTGAACACCTGCATTATCCAGCATATGTCCTGGCTCTCTGCTGGGTCTGGCATCACTGGATCTGTCCCTGCTGGGTCTGGCATCACTCCCTCATTCCTGCCCAGCTCCCCATGGAGGAGTGATGGTCAGCCCTGTTGGGGAGCTGATTATCCATGTTTATTCCTCAAAAATGGCATTTTCAGGGACGGAATCAGGTGTTCCTGGGAGGCTTGGTCTTGTACAAATGGACAAAGTGCCACCCCAGAGAAGGTGTTGAACACCTGCATTATCCAGCATCTGTCCTGGCTCTCTGCTGGGTCTGGCATCACTGGATCTGTCCCTGCTGGGTCTGGCATCACTCCCTCATTCCTGCCCAGCTCCCCATGCAGGGATGAGCCCTGTTCTGCCCCATCCCACCCTGCCAGGCTGCAGCCAAGGCTGGGGAAGGTCTTGGTGAGCTGATTATCCATGTTTATTCCTCAAACAGGGCATTTTCAGGGATGGAATCAGGTGTTCCTCTGAGGCTTGGTCTTGTGGTACAGATGGACACAGTGTCACCCCAGAGAAGGTGTTGAACACCTGCATTATCCAACCTCGGGGCTCTCAGCATCTGTCCTGGCTCTCTGCTGGGTCTGGCATCACTCCCTCATTCCTGCCCAGCTCCCCATGCAGGGATGAGCCCTGTTCTGCCCCATCCCACCCTGCCAGGCTGCAGCCAAGGCTGGGGAAGGTCCCAAAGGGCTGAGGGTGAGGTATCCCCATCTCTGCACCCAGTGCCATCACAGGAGCTGCACATTTCCCAGCTGGGAACTGCTCTGAGAGGCAGCTCCATGCACTGGGCGTGCCATGCATCATTTTAGAAGGTCATGCCATTAATTCTCTTGAGGGTGCACAAGGCCTCTGAGCAAGGAAAGGGCTCTGTAAACACTTCCCACCAAATGTGCTCACTCAGCCGAAGCAGGTGATTAATGGTGCTGGGCTTTTTGTTCCTTCCATCCTGTGTTAACAGAGCCACTTCCCAGATTTTCCAGCAGCCACCAGTGCCCCCCTGCCCAACCCTGGGACAAACCATGGCCAGGGCTGCTCCCACACTGCCAGGATCTTCCCAGAAATTTGTTTGGGAACCTTGAGGACACACACATGGTGCCAGGGTTTCACTTGCCTCTCCCACAACCCTGATTGTGGCACTGGTGTGATGAGAAAACCCCTGAATCAGTTCTGAATGAGAGCTCAGCATTTAGGGAACCACCTCATCTTAAAAAGAAGCTTCCCCACACCTTCCTGGACCTTAAGAAATTAGTAGTTACAAGAACCTTGTGCTGCACTTTCTCTGTTTTGGGGCTTGGAGTGCCCAGAGCAGCCCCAGCCACTCACAGAGGGGACAACACAGAGGAAAATGGAGTCAAAACCTGATAATCCTCCAGTTCCAACAGCTCAGCCACAGAGCCTGGGCCAGGTCAGGGGACTTGGCCCAGCTCAGAGTGACATGGCAGAGCCCCCAGGGCCAGCTCTTGCTCACTCTGAGTAGTGAAGCCACCACAACCTCTGTCCACCTCCTGCTTGGTGGAATTCAGACCTTCCCCCAGCCCAGAGGAGCACAGGAACAGCAAAGGGACAACACCAGGTTGTGTGCACAGGGCAGAAGGAGCAAGATTACACACCAGGAGTGTTTTCCAGCCTACAGGAAGCCTTTGAAGGAGTGAAGGGAATGCTGCTTTTCCAGACTCAGGAGCCTGAACACCTTTCCTGGAGGCAGATTGTGCTTCCTCCCTCAGGGCAGGCGCGGGGATTTGCGCAGGGCAAAACTTTGTGCAGAGATGTTGCTCAGGAAACAAAACAGCTCAGGCTGGAGACACAAAGCACCAAGGGACGAGTGCTGGCTCCAGCACAGGATACCCCCAGAGCCCCCCAGGTTGGGGCCTGGCCCCAGGCTGTCACCACAAGGCTCTGCCCCAGGAGCCACCACACCAGTGCAGGATGTTATTGAAGGGTGGTCAACAACATCCTGCACTGCAACACCTGCCCTCTGTTCTCCAGCCACCTCACGTGAGACAAATCCCGGGTTTTGTCTCAATTAAAGGTGGAAACAACGAAACAAAAGCTAGTTCCAGTCTGGAGGAAATGCATACAGAAGCAACAGGCTGTGTAATGGCTCATTTTTCCAGGATACCATCCATCAAGCAGCAGCTCCCATCCCAGAGCTGGCTTGGATGTGTTTATATTTTTTTTTGATTATATTAGTCACTTAGGACCATCCTCAGCTGCCACAAAGAGTGTTTAAATGAGTCAGATAAGATCTAAATTAGGCCTGGCTGAAAAATTAAGACAAGAGAGTGGAGGTTACTAAAACCAGTCCAGGAGGAGGCTGCAGTGGGGCAGGGAGCTGCTTTCCATCCTGGGCTGGGCCAAGGACTGGCAGCCCTCACCCAGCTCTCCCAAACCTGTCCCACATCTCCACATAATTCTCAAGGGGAATTTAAATTCTGGGCAGAAGCTGCCTGGTACCACTGGTGATGGATAGGAATAAGGACAGAGACCTTTGACACAACAGGAAAGCAGCAGTTTAATAAATAATCCATCAGAGGGAGAGATTAGCCAGTTCCAAACACAACCTGAACCAAAATAAATACATTTTATCATTAGCTTAAAAAAAAAAAAAGACACAAACACACGTGATGGTGAAGTGTGAGAGAGCAGAGGTGGGGTCAAGTGCCCACACTTTAAAGATACCACAGCTGTCAACAGCCTTTGGAGTGCAGAAAAAGAATAAAAACAGGGAAGTAAAAAGTTACTACTTTGCAAAATTAATGGCAGAAGAGAAAGCAATGGTGTAACTCAGGTTTTTAATGCAACAAGATCAGCTGAAACTCACTTGACCTGCCAGGACTGCTGACAGGCAATTGAGATGATTTTTGCCTTGTGTTTGGGCATTGCTGTTACCATCCCAGATTTTTAAGTCCCTGCAGACAAATCCTGGGAATCCCAACGTTAAACAGCCAGGCTCAGGCACTGCACAGCAGATCAAGCAGATTTTAAGAAAAGACTCCTTTTTAAAAAGTTGCGTTTTCGTAGAAAGTAACAAGAATTGGCAAAAACTAGCTGAATGCTCTACACAGCCTTTCCAGCCTCCACGTGGGATGCTGCAGAAGCACCAGCCCTTCAGAACAAGTTGTTCTTCATCTGGCTCTGGTGACTTCAGCTCCAGCATTGCCTGGCCCAGCTCCTGCTCTGTCCCATCGAGGCAGAGCAGGAGGGAAGGGGAGGCACCGGGCCAAGGCCCCACTAAACCAGTGAGAGGAACCCCAACAGGGTGGGAGGGGATCCCTGCTTGCTCCCTGCACCTCAAAGAGCCCCTGCTGCCAGCTCTGCACACCAGCACGAGCCACTTTGCTGCTGGGGATGGCACCTGTAGAGGTCCTGCTGCTGCCTGGTGCTGTGCCCCCCTCCATCCACCCACTGCCACATCCCCACCCCAGCTGCACCAGTAACCCCACTGGTGACCAAAACACTCCAGGCCCACCGTGCACATGTCAGCATCACCAGAAGCTCAGGGGTGAGGGACATGAGCTGGGAGGGAAGATTCTGGACAGTTCTGGGGTCTGAGGGGAAGGAAAGGGTGAGAAGCCACAGGCAGCAGCAGTGGTGAGAGGGAATGGGACCAGAAACACATTGGTTTCAATAAACTATGCAATAAGGGAGAGGACTTTTAAAAATATATCTCTATATACTTTATATCATATAAATTATGCTCATCTTTTTTGTAACGTGTCGCTGTATTGTACCCGTGAAGCTCTGAGGTAACAATTCTACATTTTTACTTCTTCTGTGTGTGAGGGAAAATCCTACATCAGCTCACTTTAACCCATATAAATCAACAGATTGCCAGGACTTGGGAAAAGTCCCGTCTGAAAAAGGCATTTTTGTGAGGAACAGAGGTGGGGGAACTGCTGCCTGGAAGTGCAAGTGACAGGATTTCCTTCAGGATAAAAGCTTGCCATGCACACACAGTACTGACCATCCCACTAATGTTTGGGAATTGGGAGTGTCACCACAAGGAGCTTGTGGGAAGGGAAAAATGGAGTCATGGCAGGTCAAGGAAGTTTCTGCTGGCTCTGCTCCTCCCCAGACCTGCAGCCAGACCCATCTCAGCATCCCTCTGTGTCCCAGCTGCTCCCAGTTCTGAGCACAGGAGCTGCCACCAGGCCAGATCAATGCACAACAAACTGTCCATTCTTTTACTGAAACACCCACCTCTGCTAACCAGATGGCATTTGCAGTCACTGCTGTGTGTCTGCAAAGATCCACCACGTCAAGGGCCAGCACTGCCTCCCTTTTGGCTGCTCTCCCCTGGGAACCTTCCCCAAACCCACAGAGAGGAGATCCCAGGCAGAGAACAGCCAAGGCAAGGCTGGTTTGGCTGCTGCACCCTCAATTCCTTTAACAAAAGATTCCTCAAGTGTCCTTGGTTTGGTCCTTACTTCCCAGAACTGCTCAATGCCACCACTTCTTATTCACTCAAATGAGAACAATTGTTTCCTGCCCTCTGCCACATTTCTATAAACAACCACACATTCCCTGTTTGCCTCAGCTCCTTTCACCAGGCTCCAAGCACCTCCTGCTCTTTCTGAGCACAGCTGAGCCTGCAGCAGAGGTTGCAGCTCCACTGTTCCACAAACAAAAGCCTCCACAGCAGGCTCAGAAATGCCACATGGAATCCAAAGCCCTTAAGTCCAAATCAACACAACCTTCACCATCAGGATCTGCTGGGTTGAGAACAAACCAGCTCTGGACACTCTTTGGGTTTAGCATCAGATGGTAGAGCCCAGGGGCAAACCAGCGTGCTTTATACAATGCTCAAGGTAAACAGACATTTCTCTGACCTTTCTCCCAGGAAATCACTCCTCTCCAAAGTGCTCAGCACAGCCAAGCTGTTTCTCCAACCTGCCAGAGAATTTTATCTCCTAAACAACCCTCACAGCTCCAGGAAAAGATTTCTGAAAAAGAAAAAATTCTTCCACCTACTGCCTGTGGAGGCAACAGGCAAATGCCACCTCAGAGTGACAAGAGAAAAGAAAACCAAACAGAACCACAGCCATTGTGGCCATCCAAGTGTTTGTAATTCGTGGAGTTGCCCTTCTCAGCTGCAACTTCTTCATTTTTATCCTCTTCATCAGAACATGAAGTCAGCAGATTTCTGTTTTTTTGGTCTAAGTCTCACTTGGGGCAGAATGGGGCCCTCCAGCAGAGAGGAAGCTCAGAGCTGCAGCCCCTGTGCTTCACACACACCCTGTCCCCTCCTCAGGGTGCCACCACAGCCTGCAGGGCTGCCAGGGCCAGCAGCAGCAACAGCTCTGGCAGGGATGGGGCATGGAGCAAAGGCCAGATTTGATTCCAGGGGCAGCTCCCACCAAGCACAGCCCAGGCAGAGGGTTTGGCAGGGCACACAGGGGTCACTCACAAGGGCAGGTTTGCTTTCCAGAACCATCCCTCCAGTGGAGCAGTTCCCTATCTCCCCTTTCCATCAGCACCGGGTGATACAATTCCATTTTTGCACCAGCTGGGTGTATTTGGCTCGAAGGGAAACCTCATCCCTCCTCAGGAGCTGTCAGTGGCACAGTCTGTCACCTTGGATCCCTCTCCCCTTCCCTGAACTCCTGCTGAGTCCATCCTTGACGTGGAGTCGAGCCTGGGGCAGGTCCCCTGTCCCACCTCACACACTGCTGTCCTCCAGGAGGGGCTCTTTGCCATCAGACCCCCCAGCTGGGGGGCTGTGGGGGTGAGCCTGAGCCCCTGCACTGTGCTTCTTGTGGCTGCCTGACCTCAGGGCCAGGTTGTGTTCAGGAATGAACAGGGCCACCAGCAGCGACAGCAGCACGGAGCACGCCCCGAACAGGAAGGGTGGCCCAGGGATGATGCTGCTCTGGAGAGAGAGAGACAGAGAGACAGGAATGATTCAAGCATAAGGGCAAACCCAGCCCAAAAAACAGAGTGAGAAGCTGAGTAGGTACCTCATCTGTAGGGTTGGCCATGTTGGGTTTGGAGGCCTTGCCCAACGTTTCCACCTCAGCCATTTCGTTCAGCTCCACGTGGAAGAGATAGAAGACAAAACCATAGAGTGCTGGCCCCAGGCCATTACACAGACCCCGAATTCCAGTGATCATCCCCTGCACCACACCTGGGGACAGAGGGAAGAACAGGGGAAATGCCTCCAGCTCTCCAAAGAAAGCGAGAGTTTCTTGTTTAATTCAAGTGAGTTTCACTTGTTTTATTCGAGGATACATATTTGGAAACAAGATCAAGCACTTGGATCTGGGCTGATGTGCAGGGGAGGGGTTTGCAGATGAGCAGCTTCACTCAGTGCCAGGTTCTAGAAAAATCAGTAATGCTGGGCTTGCTGCTTTGCAGACTGAAATAAGCATAAGCACATCAAGCAACAATTTCCAATTAACTAGAATTTAATTGAGGATTCAGAGATGTACTGTGAGGCAGGCAAAATGCAGCAGCCTCCTCTGCCTCAGAGGACAACACCAAACACCCATTTTCATGGCTTGGGAGTTCCCCAGTAAAGCAGCAGCCGTGGTCAAAGATAAGAGTGTGAAAATTGCTGTGAGCACAGTGACACTCCACAGCTGGCACAGATGTTCCTGCCAACCCCTCCCCTCCTGATGCCACCTCAGCACCTGCTGGGACGAACCCTCCATCAGATGTGTGTCACTGTCATATTTTCCAAAAAAAATCTCTTGGCCCAGGATTGTCTCCTGGGAAGCTGAGAAGCCTCAGAGAAAAATAAAACCAATTATTATCAGATTTGCTTCTCCTGTGTTTTGCTGCTTTGGAATGTGGGTTGGACATCGTTTACCAACAATGCATTTTTGATTGGTTTCATGTGAATTGTTCTAACTTAATGGCCAATCATGGTCAGGCTGTGTCAGGACTCTGGAAGGAGTCACAAGATTTCATTAGTTTTTTTTAGTCTTCTGTCTGTATCCTTTCTCTATTCTTTAGTATAGTTTCAGTTTAGTATTCTTAATATATTAAGAATATAATATATTTTTAATAGAAATATTCTATTCTAATTTATTATTATTTATTATAATATTCTAAAATATTATATCCTAATATATGATATTCTGATATATTATTATATTCTGATATATATTATTATAATATTGTATATTGTTTTATATTATAATATATTATTTTATTTATTTTATTTTTATTATTATAATATTATATATTGTTTTATGATCTATAAAGAATATAATATATTAGAATATAATAAATATTCTAATATATTATATTCTTTATAGATCATAAAATAATAAATTAGCCTTCTAAGAACATGGAGTCAGATTCCTCATACCTCCCTTTGACAGGGCCTCAGAGAATCCCCCAGATGTGTCCCCAGGCACTCACCCTGCTGGTCAGGGTCTGTGCTCCTCGACACCATGGCACTGATGGCTGGGAAGGTGATGCTGGACATGGCAGCCACAGCTCCTGCTGCCCACATCATCCTGGGGAGGAAGAGGCAGCTGTGAGGAACAGCCCTGAGCCCTCACCCTGTGCTGCTGCAGGGTGGGAGAGGCCACAGAGGGACAGAAATGTGGGCAGACCCTCACCAAGGCTGTGATCCAAAGCCATACCAGGCGAGCTGCAGGATCTGGAAGCCCAGGCCCAGCAGGATGGTGTTTTTATTCCCTATCGAGCGCATGAGGATTCCCAACACCACTGTCTGGAAAGAAAAACAGGAGTTTTCAAGGCAGGGGCAAAGAAAGTGGGCAACAATCAGGAGACAAGAGCACAGGAACCTGAGGGATTCTTATGGGTCCCTCCCAGTTTAAGATCTCTGTTTCAAAAGTCTGTGTGGCCACAGGAGTTCTGACAACTCTCAACTCAGAAATTTCAGACTGCTCAAGCCAACACAGAAATTGCTTCTCACCTGAGCCAGTATAGAGAGAATTCCAACGACACCAATAAAGGCTGCTACAGTCTCTGAGGAAAAACCAATGACCTGTGAAAACATCAAAGAGGGATTTTTCAGGCAGATTTGTACCAAAAGCCCCTCCATCAATGTCACTCATGTTTACTGAACTTCCTTCTCAGGGATCTGCACATTAACAGCTCTGCCTCTGGCCTGCCATAGGAATCAAACAGATTTTCCTCTGGCTGAAAAAATGGTTTTAAATCACTGAACTCCCCTTGCAGTGCCTGAAGGTGGCACAGCCAGGATTGCCAGGCAGACACCAGCAAGGAGCCAAGCCAGGCTCGCCCCAGACAATGCCTGGGGCAGTCAGCAGGCACACACATTCTTCAGGGGAGCTGGAAAAAAAAAAATCACTATTTCTTACAATTTCACTTTTTCTTACAATTATTGGCCAAGAAAAGCCACCTTGAGACAGGTGGCACAACTTAAATTGTATTTATAGGGTAGGATTTCCTGCACCCAGAGCTTTGAGAGACTGACCTGTCTCAGGTAGAGGAAGAAGCTGGAGTACTGGCCGGCCTCAGGAAGGTAGGAGAGAAAGACTGTGATGCAGATGAGCAGCACTGTGGAGTCCTGACCCACCTTCCTCAAGGACTGCAGGGAAAGGGGTGGGGAACAAGAAAAAAATGTTTTAAAATTTGACTTGATATCGCTGAAAAATCTGCAGGTACAAAAACAGCAAAACCTTAAAAATCAGGAGGGCTAAAGCAAACATTAAGCATTACCAGCACACAGGAAAACAGCAGAGCTGGATTTTCTACAAACTTTCCACAAATTTTCCACAAATCCATTTCCCACACAGCAGCAGGCTGTGAGCAGCACTGTGGAGTCCTGACCCACCTTCCTCAAGGACTGCAGGGAAAGGGGTGGGGAACCAGAAAAATTTTTAAAATTTGACTTGATATCACTGAAAAATCTGCAGGTACCAAGACAGCCAAACCAAGGGCTTAACACCTGAAAAATCAGCAGGATTAAAGCAAACATTAAGCATTACCAGCAGACAGGAAAACAGCAGTGCTGGATTTTCTACAAATTTTCAAGAGATCCCTTTCCCACACGGCAGCAGGCTCACTCACAGCGAATGGGTCAGCTTGTTCCCAGGAGATTGGGGCTCCCCAGGAGACTGGACGCATCTCCTCAGGCAGTGACTCGGGCACAGCCAGCAGGATGAAGCCAATGTCCAGCAAAGCAACCCCTGAAGCCAGCACAACCACCAAGGTGTCACCGTAGGCTTGGGACAGGTAGGCGCCGATGGCCGGGCTGGTGACCAGGCTGGCAGCAAACGTGGCTGACACCTGGAAACATAAAAATTCTCTACAGCCTCTTCTTCCTACAGCACATTTCCTCCTCCTCAGTGACCCAGGGAACTCTTTTTGGCATCTCTGATGGAGAGCCCGTCTCCTCTTCCCTAGTGATCCAGAGAATTCTTTCTGGCATCTTTGATGGAGAGATAAATAAGAATTCACAGCTGACAGATTCTCTTGGTGCACTTGGGCTAAATTCTAGCAAAAGGGAATCAAAGCTTTCCTAGGAATGCCTGGATGGTGCTGTAAAGCTGCAGGAAGGGCAGGATCACAGCAAGCATCACAGGCTCCCCTTCCCTGGTGTGGAAAAGGGAAGGGCCAGGCTGGTTTAGAGTGGGCAGAGATCAGCCTCCTCCCCAGAGCTAAACCCCAAACACAAGGACAGGAGTCTGTGTGATCAGTCAATAAACCTCCCACCCTAATTTTATATCTCTCCTACCTGCAAAGCCCCAAATATTTCTTTAAGAGCCAGGCCAGTGACTCAGCTCCTTACCAGGCCGTACGCCGTGCTGCGCTCGTGCTCCTGCGTGATATCAGCAACATAGGCAAAAATCACAGAAAAGGTGACAGCAAACACTCCAGACATGGAAATGACAGCAAAGTACCACCTGCAAGAGCCCAAGGCACAGTGAGAGAGCAGCCACACCACAGCCCACAGCTGCTGAAGCAGAGCCTCTCCCTTGTTCTGCCTCCAGTCCATCCTGTTCCAGTGCACCAGAACAGGAACATGGAATCTTGGCCTGGAGAGCACTGAAGGTTTATCATTTATTTTCCCTAACAGAAATAATGCATTGAGTAAGGGAACAAGCACAGAGGACAGAACAACCCTTAACCCCCAACTGAACCCTCCAGACCCAGACAAATCAGTCTCTAGGCTGAGCATCCTCCTCCATTCCTAAGATGGATGAGACTCTTCCATCTCACCCTGAAAGGAGCAGCTGCAAACCCTCCTCCTTCAGCCTCTTGCTGCTGCCCCTCCTCAGAACCCTGGGGCTGCACTGAGGGTGAACTCACCAGGGGCTGATCTTCATCAGGGGAATTGGTGCACACGTGAAGAAGACGGTGAGAAGGAGGAAGGATTTCCTGCCCCAGACATCAGAGAGAGCACCAATCAGCGGGGCACTTAGGAAAGAGAGCAGACCCTGGGATGGACAGACAGAGAAACCCCTCAGTGAGAGCTTTCAACAACATCAGGGGGAGAAAACCCATTCTGATTGCTGCAATGCTGTTACAACAGAGCAGTGGATTCAACTCCCCAAAACCAAATCCTTGACCAGCAAGGCCCCACTGAGCACCCCTGCATGCTCAGAGCTCTGCTCTGGGCACCCAGGCAGCCCTGCCAGGAGCTGGAGAGCTGCTGGCACAGCTCCAGCATGGCAACAGCTGCTGCAGTTCTGGGGAAAGCCTTCTCTTGTATGTGGAGACAGGACAGACACAATGAGAAGCCAAGGCCATTAAGCACAAATAAAATTATTCAAAGCCTTTCCACATCTCCCAAGCCTGAGGCAGGCAGGGCAGAGCCTTTCAGTGCAGGGGCTGTTTTCCAAGATCCTCTTGCCAGAGACAGCCAAGAATTGTCTGTATTGCCTAATTCCTCAGTCAGAATTCAGGAATATTCCCTGTTCACAACTGTTGCCTGCAATTCTGCTCTAGTGCAAGAAGCTCCCCAGTCCCACAGCACATCCCCACCTCCTGCCTGGAGCTCACTGAGGCCACTTGGTTTCAGCTTCTATCACCAATAAATTTACAAGTCACTGATTTGTCATTCTGTTATGCCCCAGAGGATGGGCACAGGGCTGATTTCATGCAGGTAAGATGATTTCCAGCTGAAACAACTCAGCTGTTGTAACTCCACATTGTCACCCCTGCTCAGTAAAATCAGCTGTCCCATACCTGTGTCCTCCCTTTTGCAGCAGGTTTGCCAGAACCCTCTCAAAGTGGCCAAATATTGGCTGGCATCATCAACAAGTTATAAAAATAAATAATGGCTTGTCCTTCTTGCACCCATGGCACATTTAAAGGAAATCCTGGAAGGAATATTCCTTACCTTGACTCCATGAATCAGACCATTCATCAGGAATGTGTGCTGAGGAAAAGTCTGGTGTAAGACCTGGAAGGGAAAACAAACAAAAACCAAATTTAAAAGTCAGAGTCAGCAACTTCTGCAAAATTTCTGTGAGTATCTGCCAGCCAGAGAACTGGAAGGGCACAATCCAGGGAAAAGGGGAAATATCCTGCCAACATTGCCTCCATGTGAGGAGCTCTGCCTGCCTTTTCCAGTATGGGAAACCACTGCCTTTAAATGCCCTTAACCATAAAAATAAATGTCTATAACACTTTCCAGGTGTATAAATCACTCCAGCATGCTCAGAGAGCCTTTCCCCATCCCCTGAACCCCCTCTGGTTTGACTTTATGTCACCACATCCCTTCTCTGCGGGTCCCTTTGTGCTGTATGTTTGACTTTATATTTTATATTAAAATAGAAATAATATTTATATTTTAAAATAAATATAGCATTAATATAAATATAATTTTAAATATAATGTTTCTATTTAAAATTATATTTATAAATATATTTTATATTTGTATAAAGACATATTATATATATTTATATAAAAATTCTAATTATAAATATAATTTAAAATATATATTAATATTATAATTTTATTATAATATATATAAATTATATATATAAATATAAATATACTGTGCAAAAATATATATTATATATAAATATAAATTATATAACAATATACATTATATATTTATATTTGAATATAGATATTTGAATATATATTATATATTATAGATAAAAATTATATCTATAAATATATATTATATAAAATATAAATTATATTATATTATCTATTTATATTTTAATGTAGATATTTGATTATAAATCTTATTTATATTTTTAAATTAGATATAAACAATATTTATATTTAATATAGACATTTGAATATAAATTGATAGACTAATATATCTAAATGTATATTTTGTATAACCAAACCCTCCTTTTCCACAGTTCCCCAGTGTTTTCACTTAATTCTCAGGAGAGCTGCCATGGAGACACACTCACCGTCAGCATTGGCGTGGTCAGCAGCCCCCAGGCAAAGAACTCCAGGAAAATCACCACCACAGCATGGTACACACTGGGCTCCCCGATCCCCTGGCGCTGCAAAATACAGCAAAAATAATAAAAAACCAAAAAACTTTCAGCAGCCTCGTCCTGCGCCTCAGAGAGAGCTCACACAGCTGGGGGATGTGGTGGTGTTCACAGGGTCCCAGGATGAGGGAAGAGATGAGAGTCTGACTCCATGTTTCAGAAAGTTTATTTATTATTTTATGCTGTGTATTATATTAAAATTATATTTTAAAACTATACTAAAAGAATAGAAGAAAGGATTTCATCAGAAAGGATTTCATCCTTTCATCATCCTTGAAAGGAATAGAAAGGAATGGAATGATCATAAAATCTTGTGACTGACCAGAGAGTCCAAGACAGCTGGACTGTGATTGGCCATTAATTAAAAACAATCACATGAGGCCAATCCCAGATGCACCTGTTGCATTCCACAGCAGCAGATTATTATTATTTACATTTCGGTTTTGAGGCCTCTCAGCTTCTCAGGAGAAAAAGCCCTAAAGAAAGGATTTTTAATAAAAGATGTCAGTGCCAGGGGGATCCCGGACACGAGTGGAGGCAGCGAGAGACGCTGCTCCGAAACGTTTTTTCCGGTCATAGCCAGCCCAGGGTGCTTGAATCCACCCCCAGCCGCTCGGTGCGGGGCTCCCTGCCCGGTTTTGCCGCCCAGGAACGGGAGCGCCCGGGGGAAGCGGCGCAGAACCGGCAGGCGCAGCGCCCATCACGGCATCCTCAGCATCCGCCGCGTCCCAGGCCGGCAGCCGCAGCAGCGGGGCCGGTTTGAGGAGCGCGGCCCACCGGGGCCAGCCCTCCTCGGGCACCGGGCACCGGCACCGCCCGCGCTCCCGTTAGCGCCGGTGCCCGCCATCCCCCCGCAGCCCCCGGTAGCCCCGCGCTCACGCCGGCCCCGTCCCGGATCACGATCTTCTTGGCCAGCAGGACGCTGCGGTTGAGCCGCTTCTTCTTCTTCTTCTCGCCGGTCATGGCGCCGCCGGGCCGCTGCCGCTCACCGGCCGCCGCGGCTGCCCCATCCTCCCCGTGGCGGGCCGGGCCGAACCGGACCGGGCCGCGCTGCGCAGAGGCAGAGGCCGAGCCCGGGCCCGGCACCGGCCCCGGAGCGGCACCGGGCGGGGAGCGCCGGGCCCGGCGCTGACGGCGGGCGAGCGGAGCGGAGCGGGGCGACCCCGCCCGCTGGCCCCGCCCCCGCACCGGGAACCGGCACTTCCGCCGCGCCGCTCCTCGCGTCTCATTGGCTGCTCCGCCGAGTCATCACCGGCCGTGCTGGTCTGTGATTGGCTAGGCGGGCCGGGGAGGCGGGCATTTCTCGGTGGTTTGGGCGGGGCCGAGACGTCACGGCGCGGCAGTGGCACCGGGAACGGGCGGTGGCACCGGCACCGGCAGCGGCCCAGGGGCGCCTTTGGGAGCGGCTGCTGCTCCGTCACGGGTAGCGCTCAAGGCCGGTTCAACAAGGACACGCGGCCGCCCCGGGGCTGGCGGCACCGGCAGGGCCGCGTCTGTCCCGGCGCGGCTCTCTCGGTACCGAGCTGCTGGTTCTCCCCTCAGCACCGGCATCCCGTAGTGGTGAAGCCAAACGCCTCCCCAGGACGATCCCGTCCCATGGATCCCATCCCATCCCGTCTCATGGTTCCCATCCCATCCCATCCCATGGATCCCACCCCATCCCATGGATCCCATCCCATGGATCCCATCCCATCCCATCCCATCCCATGGATCCCATCCTATCCCATGGATCCCATCCCATCCCATCCCATCCCATCCCATGGATCCCATCCCATGGATCCCACCCCATCCCATGGATCCCATCCCATCCCATCCCATCCCATCCCATCCCATGGATCCCACCCCATCCCCCGAGCCCGGTGCCGCCGGTGCTTGGGGTGCGTCCTAATTAACCCTGTACGAGCCAGGAGCGCGTGCTGCTGATTACCATGGTGCGGGGTCAGAGGACATTAATTGGGCACGTTTAGATAAATTTTGTGCTCGCCAGGTCCCTCTGCTCGGCCCAGCCTGCTCGAGGTGGCCGCCCCGGGCAGTGGGTGGTGGCCACACACAACCTGGGGTGCCTGGAGGGGTCTCACCGTGGGACACCGAGAGGCTCTCGGGGCTCCTGCCCACCCGGGGAACACCAGAGGCTCCAATCCAGCCTTGATCCACAGAGCTTTTCCTTTAAGCAATGATTAAACCCAAGGAAAAGTCGCCTCAGGTAACTCCACCTGAAAGATGAAAGCAATCCCCCGATTTCCTGGGATTTTTGTGTGGGTGTGGAGAGCAGCTCCATTGTCCAGGGCTGCTGCGCCTTGCCCGGCTCTGCTGTGCTGTCTTGGTTTGGAAAGACAGGAGTCTGCTAAGGAAGGCAGGAGCCTCCCCTGAAATGGAGAATATGAACCCTCCCCATCACTCTGATTTGCTATAAATTTTAAATTAAGGGGCTTTCAGGGAAAAAATATGGGAGCAGGAAATAACAGTTCTTTAATAGGGAAGAAAAGAAAGTGAAAGGATAAAATAAACAATGCAGTACATTAGAACAACAGTGCCAGAGTCAGAACCCAACCTGACACCCTGTGGGTCAGGCTGTTGGCAGCAGAACCATTGGAATTGTGGCTCAGCCCTCCTGCAGTGTCAGGGGTGGCTCTGCTGGAGCAGGGATCCTGGAGAAAGGTGCAGTCTCTGCCTCTGAAGATCCAGGGCAAGAGGCAGCTGCTGTTCCTCTGGGGAATCCAGTGCAGAAGCTGTGCTGGTGTTCCAGAATCTCCAGATTATATCCAGGCAGGAATGCTTGGCTCCTCCCTCTGGGCTCCCATCTCCCAATGGGATGCTGTAGTTCTTATCAGCCATGCAGGGACATTCCATAGCTGTTATCAGCAGGTGTCCCCTCCTGAGGGAGGAGTGATTGTGGTCACTGAGAGAGAGAGATAAGTCAAACTGCCCACTTGACAAAAGATAATCTACCATACAGATGATCATACAAAACATCTTGCCTTGCACAGCCCTGCACATGTCACACCCTTGGGCAAAACGCAGGGACACGGTGCCCTCCCCAGGAATGTGCTCCCCCAGGCTGGGCAGGCACCTGAGCCCCCTTTGAACCCCCCGCATAAAAGCATGGAGAAGCCTGATTTATCCCAGTGTTCTGCAACGGCTTAAAAACTGTGAAAAATGCGTATTTTATTATTAAAATTTCGCAAATATTCAAATGAATATTATATGTATTGTGTTAGAAAGTGATGCTGTATTAATTCTCCTAAGTTGTGTGGTAAATATGGTTTTGGGTTATAAAAAAAAGTTAAAATAGAAACTATGCTATGTAAGATACTTTCTTCCTAAAGAAAGGACTCGCAGCAAGATAGCAGCCACAGGACACCTGAATCTTTCAGAGAAAGAGAATTTATTGCTCCATTATCAGGAGAAACGAACTTCTTCCCACCTCGAAGGCGCTGTTAGGACTCAGAGGAAGAAGTTGACACTGGCCAGACAGAATCCTGTGTTTGAATGGAATTTCTGCATCATGTATGAGATGTATGAATATGCAACAGGCTGTTGTTTTTAAGGGTTAATCCTCTGTTAACTGTGTCCTTTTTCAGCCTTGTGCTGCCAGGAAAAGGTACCCGGACTGTCCTTAACTCTTTGTTTCTATTGTCTCATATAGTCCTAATGCAAACTGTCCAAATTATTATTACTCTAATTATATTACTATTTTTATAACCATTTTATTACTATTAAACTTTTAAAATTAAAAAAAAAAACAACAAAAAACCAAGTGATTGGGCGTTTTTCACAAAAACAAAACCAAGGAGAGAGATCAGAGAGCAGGGAAGCGCTTCCCAACATGGCAACGGCAGATGTAATTCTATTACCTTGATTTATTGATCGCACTTAGAGCAATTACTGGCTCTCACCCCGTCACCTGCCGGGGAGCAGGAGACAGTGAGGAGAGGAGACAAAGGCGGCTGTGTCGTCCGGGGCACGGGGAGGCTCCGGTGTTGTTTGTGCCGCGGGGGCTGGGGGTGTTGGACCGAAAAGCGACCCCAGGAATCTGAAAACAAGCGCTGAAAGGAGCCTGAGATGCAGCGGGGGTGCAGCCCCAGCATTAAAAACACTTCGGAGATGGAGGGGATGCAGGGCTGGGGAAAAGTGAGGGGGCTCCAGCACTGTGGGCAGCACTCCGGTCCTCTGACCCGCTCGAAAAGCGCCGCAGCCCCGGGGCAGGAGCAAGGGCGAATCGCTCGATTGAGGTCAGAAAATCCCTTTAAGGGTTGTGTGGGATTATTTTTCCCCCTGCTTGCTGCAGTTACAAGCAGAAAAAAAAAAAAAAAAAACCAAGAAAATGTTTGTGCTGTTCACTGCCTGAGCCCTCCAGACAGATACAAACAAAGCGGGAGTCAGATCTGGCTTTGGATGAGATCACAGCGAGAGAGGCCAGCGGGCTGCGAGGCACACAAGTAGGGCAGCCCGCTTGTGCATCGAAGCCTGGCCAAGCCCTCCCCCGCCTCCTCCCCGGCCAGCCCTGGGCTCCTGCAGCGCTTCCCGGGCGTGCAGAGGTGGAAAGAGCAGAAAATGTCCCCGTTGTGGGCGAGGGGGGCTGCGGGCCGCTTTCGCTCCAGCTCACGCACACCGAGAGCGGGCACAGCCCCGTGGCTGCGGGAGGAGCCGTCACCCTCCCCTGCCTGTTCCCCCCGTACCCTCGCTCCCAACGCTTGTGGCAGAGCTGGAAATACTCGGGGCCAGCCCCACGGCTCGGAGCAGGACGGAGGGCGCAGCGTGGGCAGCTCCGGCCCCACGGGCCGTGTCCGCGGGGGCAGCCCGGGCGCGGGGTGGATGCTCCGCTGTGCGGGGATGCGGGGCGGGGTGGATGCTGCGGGGCGGGGTGGATGCTGCGGGGCGGGACGGGGATGCGGGGCGGGACGGGGATGCTCTGGAGGCCGCGGGGGGGGTCGGGGGCGGAGGATGCGGGGCCGGGCGGGCGGCGGAGCAGCGCTCTCACCATGACATCAGCGCGGCGCGGCCCCGGGGGAGCGGGCGGGGGGTGGGAGCCGGCGCGGAGGCGGCGGCGGCGGCGGCAGCGGAGCGGAGCGCGGCCCCGGGCATGCTCCCGGAGCCCAAGTATGATCGCTTCCGCGACGAGCCGCTGACCGCCCCCATGCCGTCGCCGGCCCCCGCTCCGTGCCCCGCGGCGGGCGAGGAGCCCGAGCACGGCACCACCTTCTGCGCTCTGCTGCCGCGGATGCCGCAGTGGAAGTTCCCCGGCTCCAGCGGCTTCCTCGGCCGCGGCCCCGCCGGTGCCTCCCGGGACGCCCCCGCCGCGGCGGAGTCTCCCTCGGGGCTGGCCGCCGTGCTGGGCGCCTGCGAGCCGCTCTGCGCCGCGCCCTGCGCGCTACCGGGCGGCGGGAGGGCGCGGGGAGCGGCGGGGCGGGCGCGGGGGGCGGCGGCGGCACCGGCGGCGGGGGCCCGGCCCGGCGGGGATGAGTGGAGCCGCAAGGGCAGCTTCATCCGCAAACCGGCTCAGGGCTGGCTGCACCCCGACGAGCGGGTGCTGGGGCCCGGCGTCTCCTACATTGTCCGGGTAAGTCCCGCCGGAGCTCCCGGTGAGGCGCGGGAGGGCGCGGAGACCCCCGGTCCCAGGCGTGTGCGGGGCTCGGCGGGTCCGGCTCCTCCCGACGGGCTGAGCCCTCGCTCGAGTACCCCCGGCACGGCTGGACCGGGGCAGCCGCCCTCAGAACATCACAGCCGTGATGGGGCCGGGCCCCGGGGGCTTGCTGGGCCCTGGAGCCCACCCTGGGACTCCAGCATTGTCAGCTCCTACCAGGCATCACAAGCTGGAGCACACAGATGAAGTTTTGGGGTGTTAGCATGGAGTCTGGGTGTGTGATGGGGCATTTTGGGGTGGGGAGTGAAAGCTGCTGTGTGATGCCTGGAGCTGGTGTGGAGCTGCCCCTGACACCCTCTCCTGTCCTTTGCCTGCCCTGCTGTGCTGCTTTCCCCCCGCAGTACATGGGGTGCATTGAGGTGCTGCGCTCCATGAGGTCCCTCGACTTCAACACCCGGACACAGGTCACCAGGTACGGCCCTGCAGTCCCCCTGTCCCACACCCCAGTGCCACCCCAAGACCCTGGTGGCCCTGGGTGCTCTTCAGTGGCCCTGGGTGCTCTTCAGTGGCCCTGGGTGCTCCCTGGTGGCCCTGGGTGCTCCCCCTTCCCAGAGCCCCATGCAGAGAAGGGAACACAGGCCCGGGGAAGCCATGCCCTGCATGCAGGGACACAGAGGAAGGGCACTGCTGCAGATCAATGGGTGGAAAGAGGAGAAGGGAGGTGGCCCCAGCTGGGATTACGTACCAGGGCCGGGGCCGTGACGTGGGGCAGCGCTGCGGGGAGGCTGCAGTGCCCTGGGGATGTGGGGGCTCCTGCCACCAGACCCCACAGGGCAATGTGGGGTGGGAAGGCAGCTGGGAAGGGCTGGCTGTGGAGCAGTGAGCAGGCCAGGCTCTGTCCATTGCAGAGAAGCAATCAACAGACTATACGAGGCAGTGCCGGGTGTGAAGGGCATCTGGAAGAAGAAGGTGAGTTTCTCTGGGACAAGCCAAGGCTGTGGGCACTGGGGGTGCCTGTCCAGTTTCTGGGCCTGCAGCCTCTTGGGGCACCCCCTGTTTGCTCATTCACCCCAGGAGGCCTGGTCCTGGTGGTCTCCATTGCCCCCAGCATCCTCTCCCCCGCCAGGCTCCCAACAAAGCCCTGTTCTCCATCCTGGGCAAGAGCAACCTGCACTTCGCTGGCATGAGCATCGCTGTCAACATCTCCGTGGATGGGCTGAACCTCATGATCCCCACCACGCGCCAGGTGAGCGTTCCTGGGCACACATTCCTGCTGCCTGCCAGCCTGGGAGCCAGCAGCCCCTCTGCTGATTCCCCCCCTGGGCCGTGTTCCCCATGCAGATCATCGCCAACCACCACATGCAGTCCATCTCCTTCGCCTCTGGTGGGGACATGGTGAGTGACACACGCCCAGGGTGGGGGGGACAGGACTGCCAGCTGAGCTGAGCACAGGGTGGCCTTAACTGGGTCAGGACGTGGGGCTGGGGCTGAGAGTAGCAGGACATGAGTGCTGATCTCCCCCTCTGTCTGCAGGACACCACGGATTATGTCGCTTATGTCGCCAAGGACCCCATCAACCAGAGAGGTGACGCTGCCCTGGGGGCTCTGGAGGAGGGATGGAGGCTGGAGGAGGAGACCTGTGACCATGTTCAGAGGGGCCTTAGGATGAGGGAAGAGATGAGAATGTTGACTCCATGATTCAGAAGGCTTGATTTATTATTTTATGATATATATTACATTAAAACTATACTAAAAGAATAGAAGAAAGGATTTCATCAGAGGGCTGGCTAAGAATAGAAAAGGAAAGAAGAAGAATCATAATAAAGGCTTGTGGCTCAGACTCTCTGTCCGAGCCAGCTGGGCTGTGATTGGCCATTAATTAGAAACAACCACATGAGACCAATCCCAGATGCCCCTGTTGCATTCCACAGCAGCAGATAACCATTGGTTACATTTTGTTCCTGAGGCCTCTCAGCTTCTCAGGAGGAAAGGATTTTCCATAAAAGATGTCTGTGACAGAGATCCCTCGTGGGCTCAGGGTGGAGCGATGGCAGCGTGGGGGAAACACTCAAACCATCCGTCCGTCCGTCTGTCTGTGTGTCTGTGTGTCTGTCCACAGCCTGCCACATCCTGGAGTGCTGCGAGGGGCTGGCGCAGAGCGTCATCAGCACGGTGGGCCAGGCCTTTGAGCTGCGCTTCAAGCAGTACCTGCACAGCCCCCCCAAGGTGGTGGTACCCCCAGAGAGGTAGGGGGGTGGGGGCCCTGCTGCTGCATCCCCCTGTCCCGGGCCTGTCCCCTGCCTGGGGGTGGCTCCGGGTGTCCCTGCAGGGCCACCCTGCCGGGCAGGCTGTCCCCAGCTCACCCATCCCTGCCGCAGGGCGCTGGCTGCAGAGGAGTCAGCCTGGGGGGAGGATGAGGAGGCAGCCGAGCACGACTACTACAACAGCATCCCGGGCAAGGAGCCGCCTCCAGGGGGCCTGGTGGACTCCCGGCTGCGCCACATCCGCGCTCAGCCCCCCAGCTCCCTCCCCTCCAGCCAGGTGAGCCCCTCAGAGCCGCTGCTGGCCTTGCTCTGGGGGTGCAGAGCCCCCCAACGCTCTTCTGCCTCCTTCTCTAGGGTGGGTTAGCAGCCAGAAGAGACCCGAGCAGCCAGCTGGGGCCACCCTGGGACGTGGAGAGCCAGGGTGGGTACTGAGCTGTGAGCTGGGGGGTCCCTGTGGCTCTGGGCAGCCCTGGCCAGCAGTGATGGGGTGATGGCCGTCCTTGCAGGCCAGCCCTGCGACGGGTACCTGCAGGCTGACAGCCACACCCTGGGGCCGCGGGACTACGAGGAGCACATGTACGTGAACACCCAGAGCCTGGACGCCTGGGAGCCTGAGCTGCTGGCTCACGGGACAGCAGAGGAGAGCCCCAAAAAGGACCTCTTTGACATGAGTAAGCCACTGCCCCTGGGGGAAACGGTGCTGTGGAGCAGCCCAGCTGTGCCAGGGGTCACCCAAAACAGCCCTGGAGGTGCTGAGCCCACAGCAGTGCCCAGCCCTGGGTGTAACACCCCACAACCCCTGGGTCCCACAGGGCCGTTTGAGGACGCCCTGAAGCTCCACGAGTGCATGGCAGGGGGGGCCAGCAGCCCCCCCATTGAGGACCAGTGGCCGAGCCCCCCCACACGCAAAGCCCCCATCGCCCCCACGGAGGAGCAGCTGAGGAGGGAGCCCTGGTACCACGGGAGGATGAGCAGGAGGGACGCTGAGAGGCTCCTGCAGATGGACGGGGACTTCCTGGTGCGGGACAGCCTCACCAACCCGGGGCAGTACGTGCTGACCGGAATGCACAGCGGGCAGCCCAAGCACCTCCTGCTGGTGGATCCTGAGGGAGTGGTGAGGGCAGGGCAGGGGCTCAGGGCAGGGCACGGGGTGGGGGATTGGGGCAGGGTGTGGGGCGGGTGATGGAGGATGCAGCTGAGGGCAGGCACGGGGTGGTGCAAGTGGGTGCTTGTTGCTGTAGGACACGGAACAACACAAATGCACACACGCTTGAGGTGAAGGAAAAGGAAGTTTATTTTCTCACTCCAGCATTTACAGTTTTCCAAAAGTGACAGTGGACTGGAGGGTGACAGTGCCACCTCTGCAATGACACTGGACAAACCAACAGTCCATCAAATTTCTCCTCCTCCATCAAAAAATGCAAAACAATGAGTTATTTACAGGAAGCGTGTGAGGAAGCTTGCTACAAGAATTTAACATCAGAAAGCTTAGAAAATCTTAAAAAAATCAGGGTGACACCCCCAGGGCACTGGCACAGGTATGAGGTGCCCCCATATCACTGTAGGACATGAAACAACACGAGAGCACACACTGCTGCTCTCAAGGTGAAGAAAAGGGAAATTTATTTTCTGGCTCCAACATTTACAGTTTTTTAAAAGTGACAGTGGATTGGAGGGTGACAGTGCCACCTCTCCAATGACACTGGACAATCCATCAAATTTCTCCTCCTCCATCAAGAATGCAAACCAGTAAGTTATTTACAGGAAGCGTGTGAGGAAGTTTGCTACAAGAATTTAACATCAGAAAGCTTAAAAAATTCAGGGTGACATCCCCAGGGCACTGGCACAGGTGTGTGCCCCCATATCACTGTAGGACATGAAACAACACGAGAGCACACACTGCTGCTCTCAAGGTGAAGAAAAGGGAAATTTATTTTCTGACTCCAACATTTGTAGTTTTCCAAAAGTAACAGTGGATTGGAGGGTGACAGTGCCACCTCTCCAATGACACTGGACAATCCATCAAATTTCTCCTCCTCCATCAAAGAATGCAAGCCAGTAAGTTATTTACAGGAAGCGTGTGAGGAAGTTTGCTACAAGAATTCAAACATCAGAAGCCTTAGAAAATCTTAAAAATTCAGGGTGACACCCCCAGGGCACTGGCACAGGTGTGAGATGCCCCTATTCACTGTAGGACATGAAACAACATGAGAGCACACACTGCTGCTCTCAAGGTGAAGAAAAGGGAAGTTTATTTTCTGACTCCAACATTTACAGTTTTCCAAAAGTGACAGTGGATTGGAGGGTGACAGTGCCACCTCTCCAATGACACTGGACAATCCATCAAATTTCTCCTCCTCCATCAAAGAATGCAAAACAATAAGTTATTTACAGGAAGCGTGTGAGGAAGTTTGCTACAAGAATCCAAACATCAGAAGGCTTAGAAAATCTTAAAAAATCATGGCGACAGATGCTGTATGAGAGGCAGCTCTGCTGAGCTGAGGACTGCTGTGCCCTCCTGCTCCAGGTGAGGACCAAGGACGTGCTGTTTGAGAGCATCAGCCACCTCATCAGCCACCACCGGCAGAACGAGCAGCCCATCGTGGCAGCAGAGAGCGAGCTGCACCTCCGCCAGGTTGTACAGAGGAAGCAGTGATGCCAAGGGGGTATGTGAGCCCCTAACCTGCTCCCCTGGCTCTGGACTCGCCCCAGGGCAAAACTGGGGTCCCTTTGTGCTCCCCCTCTCCAGTTGTGCCTGGTTTTTGAGGTCTGGGGTCAGGCTCCCCATTTTTCCTCCCCAGTGAGGCTGTGCGGTGCCCGGCCCTGCAGGTCCTCCCTGGCTGCTGCCTGCCTCCATCACCTGCACGGGGTGCCCTGCCCAGCTGGACACACAGATCTTTAATTCCACACCTACAGGTGAAAAACACTCCTGGGGTGGGAACTGCTCAGTGGCCTCAGCAGGAGGGACAGAGCCTGAAGCCATCTCAGGCAGGGCTGCCCCCACTTGCCCCAGCACTGCAATGGGGGCTGGTGGATGTTGCTGTAGCCCCTGGCTTGGCTCTGCCTGTGGGGCCAGACCATCTCTTGGACACTGCTGTTGGATTTTCCTGTTGGGGACATCCCCTTTCAGCTGGATTCTCCCCAGGAGTGGCTGCCACATGATGCTCCATGTGGCCCCAAGCCCCTGCAGCCCTCCCCAGGCCAGGTCCAGGATGGAGCTACTGTGGGAAGGTGCAGGGCAGGGCTGAGCTGCTGGCACTGCCCCACAAGGTGCCCCATGGCCAGCTCGGGGTTTTGGCAGGTTTTTGTGCCATCACAGCCCCCTTTACCTGCCCTGTGTCTGGTGCTGGGCACGGGTTTGTGGTTTGGAATACATTTCTAATTAAACCTGGAAATGAGCAAGGAGCACAGGTGGTTCATGCTGGGACAGGTCTTCATCACCACCACCTCCTGCCTGGTCTCACCTTGGCCAACCCATCCTGTTCAGTCACACTTATCCCTGCCCCTCTGGGTCACCCAGTGTCCCCCTGGCTTCAGAGTGGCCTTTGGCACCCAGGGCTGGCCCTGCATGGCCTCTCCTCCTCACACCTGGCAGCTCCCTGCCCTGCTGGCTCTCCCAACCTGCCTCCACTGGAGCAGCCACCCCTGGGGTGGCTCTGAGTGGCACAAACCAAGCTGTGACCCACTGGTGACAGCAGAGCCAGGGCTGTGGGTGGGTCTGGCTGTGGCTCCTGTGTCACAGACAATTGGGGGGTCCAGCACCAATCCTGGCTCTGCTCTGAGTGCCCAGCACCCACCTCGGGGAGCAGGGTCACCCCAGCACCCTCAGCCCCTCGCTGGGGATGGCCTCTGCCAGAGCTGGCCAGTGCCAGCCGAGCCAATGAATAAAATGAGCCCCTAAATAAAGCCCAGTAATGAATGCGTAATTTTCCATTGATAGCTGGATTCCGCAGGGACGCCGTGCTTCCATCTCAGCTGCTATTTTCTGTCGTGGAGTGATGTGTCTGCAAAGATAATTGCACTGTTCCCTCAATAGAGGCAGGGAAAAGCAGCGAGGGCCCCGACTTTCTTATTTCACAGCTGGAGAAGCGAGCTCTGGTGTGGTTCACCTGCTGGCTGTGCCTCGCCCTGCAGCCCCGGGGACGCTGCCCTGGAGGGATGGAGGGCTGGTGGGGCGCTCGTTTCAGGGCTTTAACCACTTTGGTTGAGGTTGATGTGCGGTGCCAATGGGTGCAGGGGGCTCTGTGCCTCAAGCTGGGTTGAAGGGCTGGCTGCTGCTTTTTCAGCCCCTGTGATGGGAAGGCTGAGGTGTTTTGGGAAGGTTTGGAAGGCACAGAAGAGCAGCTGCAGAGAACGTGGCCTCTTTGCTTTCCCAGAGCCCGGGATGTCTCGCTGACCAACCCATCCCCTGCACCTGTCTCAAATGTGCCGACCACAGACACGCCCAGTTCGGTTTCGCAGGGCACAAACCCTTTCCCACAGCAGCTCTCCCTCCTTCCCAGCTTCCAGCAGGTGGTAGCACACTGCCGGCTCCACCAGCCATGTCCCCAGCCCTGCCAGCCCCTGCCAGCGTCCCCAGCCCTGCCGGTGCTCAGCTCCCAGCGCCCCGCTCCCCTCCGTGCCCCGCAGGCACCGGCCCCGAGCGGGCAGAGCTGGCCCGGCCCCAGCGTTCTTTGTTATCTCGGGGGAACTCAACCATTTCTGCACCTTGTTTACCCGCAGTTTCGCAGGGTGGAGGAAAAGCAAACATCGGCCTTTTGTTCGCCAGCTTCCCCTTCCGCGAGCCTCGTCCTCCTCCTCCCCCGGGCTCCATCTGCCCTCTGCTCCCTGCGGAACCCGCAATCAGAGCCCGGGGTCCAGCCAGGCTGATGTCCTCAGCACCATCCCCTCCCCACGGCTGTCCCTGGGACATCCCAGCCCTCCGGGATGCCGGACGCCTCATTTTACCAGCTCAGAGTGCGGGTGCAGAGGGAGCCGAGGCCGCAGCAGCCCCCGCGGAAGGCGCTGGCCACACCAGGCAGTTCCTGCCGGCCGTCATCGCCCGCCCTGCACCGCTGAGGGACGATGGTGCTTCCTGACGGCACCCACAGGGCAGCAGCCAGGAGGGAACAGCCGCTGGACCCTTTTGTGGCACTGTCCCTGTCCCCAGTGCTGTAAATCCCCGCGGGACCGGGGCTGGGTCTCCCGACCCCCCGCAACACCGGGGCTTGCTGTGATGCTCCGTGAACCCTCCCGACGTTTTGTCCAGGCGTCCCCAGTCCCCACCGCATCCCTCCAGGGGCTGGTGGGTTGTGTGACATGAGAGAGAGTGTGACATGCGGCACCGTCCCTCTCCCCAGCTCCTCCAGGGGAATATCAAACCACTCGATGAGGCAACTCAGCCCCGAGACGCTGCTGCCTTCATTCAGTGCTTTGAGATCGGGAGCGGGGAGAGGCAGCACCCAGAGGGGAACGGCCCCGCTGCGGGCTGGGGGCACCGGGAGGGGCGGACCGGGGCTGCTGCCGTCCCGATCCCACTCCTGGCCCCATCCCAAACCCGACACTCCCGTGGGAACACGGCCGGGTGTCCCGGGCTCGGCTTCCCGCACCTCCCGAGCATCAGCACCCCGGGGCCTCACGGTCCCAGTCCCGGTGCCGCTCGGTCCGGGTCCCAGTCCCGGTGCCGCTCGGTCGGCGTCCGGGTTCCGGTCCCGGTTCCAGCGCTGGTCGGGCAGAAATGAGGGGGTGCCGCACTCGGAGGATTACGGCGGCGGCGCGGACGGGGAGCGGAGCCGCCGCCGCCACCGCCGCCGTATAAAAGCGCGTCCGCGCCCGCCCCGCCCGGGCTGCGGTGGCGGCGGCGGCTCCGCTCCAGGTGCGGCGGCTCCCGGCACGTCCCGCTCGCGGCGGCGCCGCTCGGTCGGTCCGTCCGTCCCTCGGTCCCGGCGTCGCGTCGCGTCTGTCCCATCGCATCCCCGTCCCCCGGGTCCCCGCTCCTCGCGGCCGCTTCCTTCGCGCTCCTCCCCGGGCTGGCGGGTCCCCCCGGTCCCTCCGCTCCTTGTCCCGGTCCGGGTCTCTCGGTGCCGCCGGTCGCTCCCGGGGCTTCCGGCTTCGTCCTGCCTCCGCCGGTGCCCGGGCCCCGGTGATAGCGTTGCCCCTCGGGTCTCCTCCAGCCCCACACCCCGCAGCAACATGTGGCTGCTGGAGCGGCTGCGCGGGGTGGCGGAGAACGGCGGGTCCCGGGGCGCGGGGACGGACGAGTCCTCCCGGGGATCCCGCTACAGCAACGTCCTCACCCCCGACAAGATCCCCGACTTCTTCATCCCGCCCAAGCTGAGCGCGGCACCCGCCGAGGCCGAGGGCTCCGAGGTGCCCGCAGGGGCCGCTCTGGGCGCCTCAGTGTCGGAACAGGACCTGGCCAAGCGCAAAGCCCCGCGCAGCCCCCGCCCGTCCAGCCGCTCCCGGTCCCGCACCGGCGGGCGGCACATCATCCAGATCGAGACCGCCGAGGACTGGACCGAGGGCGGCACCAACGTGGACCCGCAGGCACAGACGGCCATGTCGCTGCCCTACGTGCCCAAGGCTCAGACCTCCTACGGCTTCGCCACGCTGATGGAGAGCCCGCACACCCGGCGCAAAGAGTCCCTGTTCCACAGCGAGCACAGCAGCCTGTGCCCCTCGCCCGTCACCTCGCCCGGCGCCCAGCGCAAAGCCAAGCTCAACGGCGACAGCGGCCGCCGGACACCGGCGGATCTCGGCGCCGCCCTGATGCACCCGGGCCGGTATTTCAGCGGCGGAGAGAGCGACACGTGCTCCTCGGCAGAGTCCTCACCCTTCGGCTCCCCGCTGCTCTCCCGCTCCGTGTCCCTGCTGAAGCTCTTCAGCCAGGAGAGCCAGTCCAAGGTGATCAAGCTGAAGCACTCGGTGGCCCGCAACAGCTCGCTGAGCACCGACGACAGCTCTGCCGACACCAGCCCCAGCGCCCAGCGCCGCGCCAGGAGCGCCCCGGCCGGGACGCAGCCTCCGACGGCCGTGCTGCCCCTGGAGCTGCCCGCGGGCCGGGACCGGGACCGGGACCGGGAGCACAGCCTGAGGCTGAGCCGGGGCGGGAGCCTGCGCCTGGCCGCCGAGTACGACCCCTCCAACGCCCGGCTGCGAGTGCGCCTCGTCTCCGCCGAGGACCTCTACGATGCCCTGGTCGACCTGCGCAGCATCAACTGCTGCGTCTCGCTGTGCCTCAACCCCGGCAAGCTGCAGAAGCAGCGCAGCACCATCGTCAAGAACAGCCGCAACCCCGTCTTCAACGAGGACTTCTTCTTCGATGGGCTGGGCCCCGGGCACGCCAGGAAGATGTCCCTGAAGCTCAAGGTGGTCAACAAGGGCAGCAGCCTTAAGCGGGACACGCTGCTGGGGGAGAAGGAGCTGCCGCTCACCGCCCTGCTGTCCTGCCTGTAGGTACCTGCTGCCAGCCCCGGAGGGAGCCCTCCTGCCTGTGGGGCCGGCTCTGTCCCCCAGCCCCGCTGCAGGAGGGTTTGGAAGGGCCCCCTGAGGACGGCCGGGGTCGTGGCAGAGTGTGGGGGTCCCCAGGAACGGGGCTCTGCCAGCACCAGCCGGCAGCCACAGCCTCTCTGCCCCTGCTCCCTCCCTGGTCCTGCCCCGGGGCTGCATCTCCTGGAGCCCAGCAGAAAGTGGGGAGCCTCCAGCCCATTCCCCACCACCAGGGAGGATGGAAGCACCTGTTGGACTCTTCCCTCCCTGTGCCTGTGGTCTCCAGCTGCCACCAAGCAGGTTGGAGGTGGGTGAATCTCTGTAGCACACTTAGGGCCACCTCTCAAAGCCCCAGCACCTGTAGTCAGGTGACAGCTTTAATTTAAAAGACAAGTTTCTGGTCTTGGAAACTGCAAAGAAAATACTGCAGAGGTGACCTGAGAGTGGGCCAAGGGCGGCCAGCCTGGGGGATGAGTCAGGTCTGTGGCTTTTGAGCCTTTCCTGGACTTGGTCCAGCCCTGTGAGGCTGCAAGGTTGGCTTGGTCTGACCCCTGCAGCCTCCTGGGCTGCCCTCCCTGCCCACCCCAGCACTGTCCCCGCAGCTGCCCCC